ATCACCTGTTGCTTCCCCCGAGGCAGAGCGTGAGAAAAGTGCTTTTGTACGGAGCCAAATGGGGAGCAGCATTAATTTCCTCCTGTGCCATTATCATTTGAGTGCTGATAAGGCACATTAGGACTTCACCAGACAGACAGTGCTTCTACTTCTTTCTTTCTTCTCCTTCTTCTTAAGAAGAAAACAGCTTCTAAATATAACCCAGGCCGAAAATCAATAGCTTTCCCCATGGATACATCACCACAACAGCCACGAAATAATTTCTAAGGGTCTCATTTGGGAAAAGAAATTAAAGGAAAATAGCTTGGCATTTCAGAGACCCTCAGTGGTCAGCCCAGTGTTGGTGCCCCACACATAACACACACGGAAGGCTGAGGGGATGCATCTCAGGATGTATTTTGGAACCAGTGTTTGGGGGCGTATGAATCAGAGAGACTGGAGGAAATAATTAAGAGCTTATTTAATTTGCAGATCCAACAGAGGTCGATACAGACTGCCTCAAGGATCCCTCAGCTGGGAAGGGTCACTGGGTTTCTCCCAATGCACACCAGGTGCTGGAATGGGGTTTTCATGGACCTGACTCCACTTGAAATGGCACAGTCAGTTTCAGGGCATAACCACAACCTTCTGCCACAGCTCCCCACGTTACAGGAAGGGTGAAGGAGAGGATGATGATGAGATGGACAGGTGCCCTCATGCTGGGAAGAGCCAGCAGAACTGGCTGACAGAAACCTCTGACCCCTTCACATTTACCTTCAGAGGTCCCCGGATTTCCACTGGCACCTTTTCTGCAGCAGACAGAGCGCCGTCGCTGGGAGCATCCTCCCTCCCAAGAGCTTCTGGGGCTTCATAGAGGTCCAGGATAGTCAGAAAGGAGTGCTCAGCCTCGCTGCTCGGTGCCACAAATTCCTGTGGGCTGCAGCAAGCTCTCACTCCTTCCTCGGGGCTATTGGTGGTAGAAGTCATCCTACAGTCCTCCAGCCATGTGTCTACCAGCATCTTCTCCTTTCTCCCCACCTGGCTGCTGCCAAAAGCCCCTGGGAGGGTGGCTCTTCCAGCCCCGAGGTCACTGCAAGCTGGGTACCAACCACTGGCACCAGGCAGTGTGTGGGCAGCATTTGGTGGGGCCAGAGGGTGGGCAGAGCCCTGTGGGGCCTTGGGGTGCACCTGGGGGCTGGCTGCTGGCTGCTCCCCTCCCTCTGTCCAAGCGTCCTCTGTGCACTGGATGGGCAGTGACATGGGGATGTCTTGGAAAGAAAGCAAGCCAGACAGGTCAGTCTTGGGGTCTGAGCTTTCATAGAGAATCACTAAAGTTGGAAAAGACCACCCAGTCCAACCCCAGCCCACCCCACCATCCCACTGACCACGTCCCCAAGTGCCACATCTCTGCAGTTTCTTGAACACCCCCCAGGAATGCTGGCTCTGCACCTCTCTGGACAGCCCATGCCAATGCATCACCACTCTCCCAGAGGAGAAACCTGTTCCAAATACCCAACCTGACCCCTTCGGTGTAATGTGAGGCCATCACCTCTCATCCTATCACTGTTACCTGGGAGCCTCTTCCTACCAGCGATAACCACAAGATACGCAATTAAGGGAAAGCAGCCTAAAAGGATCGTTAAATATAGCAACACATTACAGCAAGCTGACTAATTTTTCTACCCCCACCACAAATAACTAAATTAGCATCCAAACTAAAACAATTTCCTTTTCTGCCTTTTGGTGCCAACTCATCCAGCGCTCACAAAACTCACTCATCCTAACAACCCCCCATCTCGTAGTTTCAGTAACCAGCGAGGTCCTTTGGAACCAAGAGGCATTGCACCAAGAGCTGGGTGAGTTTGGGCTGCATCCCATCTATGGTTGGTTTTTTTTTTCCCCTTCCTGTTGCTTCATTCTCTATTTGTGCTGTAGTGAAACAGCCCAGTGTTATCTCCTTTGTGGGGGGTGGGCAAGCAAAGCTCGCTGCCCCCACAGGCAAGGGATGGCAAGAAATACAAGGCTGGGCCAGCATGAAGTGGCAGATGGAGAGAGAGAGAGAAGGCTGAGAGCTGGAGGAAGAGCATCAGCTGCCCCACCAGGGGAGATGATGAGATATCTCTGTGTCCTCGCGTGATGGCTTTGGTCTGGGTGCTGCTTGGAGATGTTTATCTGTGTTCCAGCCCCGTGCCGAGGGCAGAGGCGATGCTGCAGGCTCACCCGCTTCGTTGTGGGGGAAATGAGGCGACCACAGGGCTGAAAGAGCACGTGGCAGCTCTTTGCTTGGGCAAAGACCTTCTGACTGCATGAAACAGCCTGTAAGGTTGGGGAAAGCTTGTAGGACCCTGCAGGATTCATTAATTGGAGTGCTAGGGGGAGCAGATGAGCACCCAGAGCACAGTGGGGAACAGGAAGGCCATGGCTTGGTTAGCCATGCAGGCTGCTGGGGTGGGCGAGAGCATTAGCACAGGCAATGAGCAGCCCTTGGAGGCTGCACCACCACCATGCCTGCTTCCCAAAAAGTCTCCAGGCCATCAGCACCATCTGGCACAGCTCCTCCCTGCTTTTCCCAGAGTAAATCACAGCCTGTGGTGGTTTAGCATGGCTTTCAGCAGGCACACGCACGTGGCCATGCATTGGATGGCAGAGGCAAAGCCAAAACATCGTGACAGCCAGCACAGGGAGCTGTGCCTTCAGCCAGCTTCCTCATTACACCCTTTTTGGCAGCAAACCGCTCGGCAGCATGAGGTTAAAGGTTGAAATCCCCTCCCATCAGCCTGTATCTGCTCTTTGCAGTGAAGGAGCAATTCAGCATGACCTCCCCCCATCCCCAGCCCCGCTGCTCACCCACAACGGGGCCCTTCCTGGCGCTCAGTTTCTGCAGCAGCTCGCTCTGCCTGGAGCACAGCTCCCGCAGCCTGGCCACCTCCTGGCACAGCTGGAGGAATACTTCACCCATTTCCATCACACCTGGTCAGGGAGGAAGCAAGAAGCTGTGCGTTATCCAAAGGCAGCAAGGAGGGGACGTGGTGATGGGGAGCACGGTGCTCCGTCCTACTGTGGGATCTCTGGAGATGTCAGTGCTTCACTGTGATGGAAAGAAGTTGTAGTTGCAGTTTTCTTGCAATTTAAAAGAAAAAAAAAAAAAAAAAGCTGAAAAGGGAAGTGATGCTGTCCAAAACAGGGGATAACCCAACTGCTGAGCTGGGCTTCTCCATCTCTAAGCCCACAGTGGAGAGAAGTTCAAGGCCTCCTGATGGAGGGATTGGACCTGTCCAGAGCAGGGAGAGGGGTGGGGGGCTGTGAGGACCCTTCCAAAGCAGCCATCCTATGGTTCTATGATCTTGAGGGACACTTCCAACCCAATCATCTCAAGGTTCTGAGATCTTTAAGTTCCCTCCCAATCCAACCATCCTATGGTTCTGTGATCTTTAAGGTCCCTTCCAACCCAACCATCCTACGGTTCCATGATCTTTGAGAACCCTTCCAACCCAATCACTCCATTATTCCACGGTTCTGTGGTCTTTAAGGGCCCTTCCAACCCAACCATCCTATGGTTCTGTGATCTTTAAGAACCCTTCCAGCCTCAGATATGCTGTGATTCCATGATTTGGAGAAATAACTATTTTTTTTTCTTTTTTTTTTTTTGCAGCAGTGTGAGAGCAAACAAACTCCTGGCAATGAACCCCAAAGGGGAAGGAGGTCCAAGCACGGGGGCACGACTCCCATTTCTTCAGTCACTCAGCCCTGAGCTGCCCATTCTGCTCCTGAAAATACTCCACATGAAAATCCAGCCCATGCCCACGAGGTATCCTTTAGCCAAATATTGTCACTACGAAGAATAACCTCCCCATGTTGTGTTCAGCACATTTCTCCTTGCTCTAACAGCTGTATTGTGGATTCGACTTTCCAGTTTTACCATATTGCACCAATTAATACCAGTCTGAAAGATAATAAATAAAGCCAAAGCATGGTGTAAATCTGCAAGCCATCTGCAATGCACGCTTTGATTTGAAAGATTTGTGCAATCGCAATTAGCATAAACATGCAAATCAGCTTTGCTTCCCGTCATATTTTCCAGCTTCACCGCCGCTCAGCGCTGCGAATTTAAGCCCTGGTGCTGCAATTAGGGGCTCAGCTGATGGCTTTGGGGATAACTCCTCTGCCACCCAGAGCAACGTGGGTTCCCCAAGAAGGATGAAGGGCAAAAATCCCAATGGAGCTGAAGGGAATGCTCCAAGCACCAAGAGAACTGCAGACACCGTGGTAAGGTTGCCTTCAGCAAAGGTTTTTTCTGTGCTTCTCACCCCAAAACGAGCTGTGATGGGAGCTGCGTTGTGCTCTCAGCTCTTTGGGCCCCCACTGGTGCTTAAAAACCTAGCACACGAAACCTGCAAAGCAGCTAACTAATTAAAGATTAAGAGGATATATTTTGTCTAGGAGTTATATATAACCGTGCCAATTAATTATTAAGAAGTGTGTGACTTGGAGCTGCCATTCCCAACAAGCCCATATTGATTTTGTACGAGCCCTGCTGGTTTCTCAGTAGTTAACCACGTCTTAATTTCCCCCCAAATTACCGCTTTGTCGTTAAGAGGACGGGAGATCTTAACCTCTCACGTAAACCAAAGAAGCATTTCCAAAATTGCAATTAAAGAAGCAGATGATCAGGGCTCAGAGGGGCACGACCCACGTTCTCCCTCGGTGCTGGGGAATGGGGTTGCTTTAACACAGCAAAAATCCCAACCCCCACCCCACACCTCTCTTTATAACCCAATGGGGACCCCGTGAAGCCCCAGGGCTGCAATTTGGGGAGCACACTTACAGTGGTGGGGGGCCCTCCTGCCCCCGTCCTGGTGGCCACAGCTCAGCATCGGCCTCTGGGCGCAACTGAAAAAGTTTCTCTAACAGAAAAATCCGGGGCAGGGAATTTCCCTTCAGTTTTTCAGTGCTCAGAGTGAAACCTCAGCGCGGCTGAGAGACAGGAAATATAGCAGCAGTGAATTACAGGCAGCAAACCCAGGGCTTAAAATTAGCTCTCAAGAATCCGAGAGGCGATGCTGAAGGCCAACGGTGGTGAGTTTGGGCTCTCCTCTGCTCCGTGCCAGGTAAGCCGTTGTCTGTTCTGTGCCTCAGTTTCCCCCTGCCCTTCTCAAGCAACGTGTTGGTGCTTTAATGTGTTGGGGATTTGCACATCTGCGATGCCGGCTGCCTCAAAGCCCTGCCCGACTTATCCTCCGTAAGGCAGCTAATATTCAACCTCACATCCCAATAATCCCAAAGTAATTCTCACTCCACCCCAGCTCAAATCCCTCAAATCCTCCATACAGCATGGGAGCCAACACAAAATGCTCAGCAGGAGATTAAAACCCTCCCAGCATTCGTGCCTCCTGCTTTCAGGAGCCTGGAGAGGCCCCTGGGGTTTCCCCACTGGCATTTCCCTCGCGCTCCTCTGCCCTTCTGTGCATCTCAACCACTGCTGGGATGCACAGAAGACTCGGGGGATTCTCATCCTCTGCTTTGTCTGAAAAAGCAGCCAAGCATTGGCACAGACTGCCCAGGGAGGTGGTGGGCTGTGTGGGGATGTGCCATCCTGCTGTGGGGACGTGGCATTTGGGGACAGTGGGTATGGTGGGATGGGTTGGAGTTGGGCTGGGTGGTCTTAGAGGACGTTTTCAATTCTGTGATTCTATGATTTTTTTTTCCGTGCATTGAAATCCATTGCTGATGGGGTTGCTTGTGCCTATACCTGCTACACTGTTCAAACCACATCTTCCAGAGGGGCTGCAAACAACTCTGTCACACCATCTCTACCACAGAATCATAGAATCACAGCATGGCTTGGGTTGGAAGAGCCCTTAAAGATTATAGAACCATAGAAGGGCTTGGGTTGGAAGAGTCCTTCAAGATCATAGAACCATTGAAGGGCTCTGGTTGGAAGGGACCTTAAAGCCAACTCAGCTTTAACGTGGAGTCCTCAGTACAGCAGAGACTTTCCCTGCTTTCCCAGGGACTTTTCCTGCCATAGCAGCCACCCTCAGCCCCCAGCTGGAATCTTCATGGTGATACCACCACCTAGTGTTAAACGTGGGGCTGGAGGATAAGGAAACGGGGTGCTCAGAGCTGGGGTTGTGCTCCATCGCAGCCCTGTAGCAGCACAGCTGGAGAGCAGCAAAGTGGTGCCATCAGGAGCTCAATAGGGATGACAGGGATGGGAGCAATTAGCAAATCCCAGCGTCGATGGTCTGTGTGTCCACCCACCCAAAGAAACGTTGCCAGCAGTTCTCACAGCCCGATAAAAATGACCTTAGGGTTCGCACCGCTGCACGGTGCAACCACTGAGCTACGGGTGAGGGAGGCTTTGGAGAGCCAGAGTAATTAACAGTGAGAATAATAACAAATATGAGGTGGAACGAGGACTGAGCACGAGTAGGGAGAGCACACCTGGGCTCAGAGCTTCACTGGGTCTCAGCACCCCACATCAGCTCCTATGGCCCATACAAGCACCTATAGGTCCCTATGGCCTCTATAAGTCTTTATCAGTCCCTTATAGCCTCTATAGGTCTTTACAGCCTCTATAGGCACCTATGACCACTCCGGGCCCCTATGGCCTCTATAGATCCCTATGGCATCAATAGGCCCCTATGGCTTCTATAGGCACCTATGGCTTCTATAGGCCCCTATGGCCTCTCCAGGCCCCAATGGCTTCTATAGGCCCCCTCTCCAGACCCCTATGAACTCTACAGATCCCTATGGGCATCTATAGGTCCCTATGGCCTCTATAAGTCTCTATCAGTCCCCTATGGCCTCTATAGGCCCCTATGGCCTCTCCAGGCCCCTATGGCTTCTATAGGTCTCTATGGCCTCTATAGGCACTTATGACCTCTCCAGACCCCTATGGCCTCTATAGGTCTCTATCAGTCCCCTATGGCCTCTATAGGCACCTATGACTTCTCCAGGACCATATGACCTCTATAAGTCCCTATGGCATCTATAGGTCCCTATGGCTTCTATAGGTCTCTATCAGTCCCCTATGGCCTCTATAGGTCCCTATGGCATCTATAGGCATGTATGACCTCTCCAGGCCCCTATGGCCTCTCCAGGCTGGTAATTCCCAGCATACTGGTATCAGGCCACAATAGGCCATATGGCCTCTATAGGACTCAATGACCTCCACAAGCCTTTCATTCCCAGCACATGGGAATGGCCACTATGGGAGGCCATATTCTTATTCAAAGAATCACAGAATGGCTTGGGTTGGAAGGGACCCCAAAGACCATCACATTCCAACCCCTCAGCCACAGGCAGGGCCAGCACCCTTCAGATCTGACACTAGCTCAGGTTGTCCAGGCCCCCATCCAACCTGATCTTGAACATCTCCAGGGATGGAGCATCCACAGCCTGTCTGAGCAGCCTGTTCCAGCACTTCAATCTCATATTAAAGAACTTCTCCCCAGCATCCAATCTAACCCCTCCCTCCTTGACCTTAAAACCGTTCCCCTTGTCCTATCGCTGCCTACCCTCCTTTTTATCATCCACTTTTAAATACTGGAAGGTATTTAAAAGGGACCCCACCCTGTCCCACTGCCACCCCTCTGCAGATGGAGCCCAGGATCCCATTCTGAGGATCATTGCCCTTCAGAGCTTCAAGAGCATCCCGCTGCATTACGTTCAGTCTTTCACCCACCACGACCCCCAGGTCCTTCTCTGCAGGGAGTCTGTACATGTATCAGGGACAGGGAGGTGATTGTCCCCCTCTGCTCTGCTCTCGTGAGGCCCCAGGGCTGGAGCCCCCAGGACA